CTGGGGATTCGAACCCGCCACCTTAGGTGTATGTGGCTGGCGCCTTAGCCGCTTGAGCCACAGGCGCCGAGCCTCTATAGCTTTTTCTAATAAGTAGTCTGTTGAAATAAGCAGTCTGCTACTGTCTTGCCCTTTTTAAATGATGGTAGACCAAAATATACTATAAGAACTACAATAATTAATTGTTACTGCTCACATTCTTTTACCAACCAAGTGGTATGAGAAACATTTTTATTGGATACCCACTAGCCAGAATGTAGCAGCAGATGGACTGCATTTTAAGTGGAAGTTGGCTGGTTGGGCATGGTCCTATATATATAGGGAAGGCACTTGTCATAGTCTAGGGTACCAAGGCATTTCACTTTTAAATAGCATCTTCATGATTACCTTAAGACTACCTTTGATATATAAAACAAAATTTAATGTCAGTTCATTGAGAACCTCATAAGGTCTATTATAAAGCTTTCCTTGAGAAACCAAATAATACCTCTGTTTTTTCTTGATGTTATAGGCAAATTAACTGTCAATGCTTGATGAGTAAAATAATTGAATTACAGTTGTTCAGAGAAAGTGATTACTTTTTAGCTGGAGTTGGGAGTGGGTACAGTGGAGGGGTCATGTTGAATTGCACCCTGAAGAGCGGGTTGGATTTAGATAGATAGGAGCTCATTCCATCATACCATTTTGGAAATCATTTCCTTTTCGAAAGTTATTCCAGTTGCCCTTTGGGAATTACAGTTACATTTTTTTCTCATGAGGAAAACCACTACTATGTAGTGTACTATTCATTAATAAACAGAGGCAACCACGTTTTCATGTCCTTTCTACTAAAGGCTACAGACCATTCTGGTAGGTCAGGGAATCTTCCCAAAGGAGGAGACATTTAAACTGAAGATTAAATAGGAATTAGGTAAAAGTTGAGGGAAGAATGCTTCAGGAGGAGAGACACGTGAAGCTTTTTTTTCTTTTTTCTTTTCTTTTTTGAGACAGAATCTCACTATGTCACCCTCGGTAGAATGCCATGGCATCACAGCTCATAGCCACCTCAGACTCTTGGGCTTAAGTGATTCTCTTGCCTCAGCCTCCTAAGTAGGTGGGACTACAGGCACCCTTCACAATGCCCAGCTGTTTTTTTCTGTTGCAATTGTCGTTGTTTTAGCAGGCCTGGGCTGGGTTCAAACCTGCCAGCCCCAGTGTATGTGGCCAGCGCCCTCCCCCCTGAACTATAGGTGCCACCCCAACATGTGAAGCTTTTGAGGCTGGAAAGAGCTTGTCTTTTCAAGGGATCCAGAGGCCAGTGTGGCCAAACCTAGTAAGTAGGAAAGTAACTCAAATTATTTTTTTGGGGGGGAATTTTTTTTTTTTTTTT